AGGGAAATTTCAGGATAGTTTTTTTTTTAATGTTGCATTTCAACATAAATCACTTTGTTAACACTTCATAAGGTTCCATTTGTTAACATTATTTAACATTAAATAACATCAAAACAATTAAAATATTTTATTAAATGTTCATTTAAATATTTACTAATGCATTATTTAATCAAAAGTTGTAATTATTATTTATTGGACCTTAGCTAACATAAACTAACAATGAACGGTTAGATGAATAAATTCTGTTAAAAATAATAATATGAATTTGTTGAATTTGTTACAGTCAATTTTTATATTATAAAATAGTTTGGTAAAAAAAAAAATACTTGCCTTACAAGTTGACAAACAACATGGACATGATTTTTTCTTTTTTTTCTGTAGGTTATATATAATGATAAAAAAAAAAAAACTTTAAATGGTGATAAAATTGTTATAATAGCCTACCCATCTAAACCGTGTGGTTGTGTATTCACAGATCCCATTCTCATCGCTAAAGCTCTGCAGGATTATTACCCACAAGACTGCCGCTTCATTCACATCCACCAAGGCCAGTCTGTCTATGTGTATGCCATGCTGAAAGACCGTGGGAACCTCTTTTGGGCTGGCAGTGTAAGTAGCCTATCCATACTGTATTACTGAGTGAACTCAACTGCAGTATTTTAATCATTAAAACTTGCATGATTTTCTTGTATTGACAAAGGGTGCAAAAACAAATGCTTTCCCCTCTGACAATGAAGTCACAAAGTATAACTGAAGATAACTGTTTGTGAAGGTTCAAGGGTCATATTATGGAGACCAGGAAGCTCGTCTGGGATATTTCCCCAGCAGTGTTGTTGAAGAGACGCATGCCTTAATGCCTGCTGAGGTTGAGGTCAAGACTGATGTGTGTATCTCAATCTTTTGTCTATGATAAACAAAAACAAACTGATGCACTGACAAATACATGTAATAAAAAACTTCCGTTTAAGGTTAATTATACTCTTTTTTTGTCTTTTCAGAAATGGGACTTTTACTGCTATTAGGATTGCTGTCTCGGCTGGAACATAAACATAATTTTTGATTCCACTCTGCACTTTATAGTGTGTCACTACATTTATTATTTCTAGTAGGCAACTCAACTTAAAGATTTCTAACTATTCAGAAGAGGAAAACATATAGACCAGTGACTGTATACTGTAAATGCTTGTTGATGCAATAGTTTGAATAAAGCTGAGCTGCTGCTATTTGGCTGCTACTCTCGCAAGTGGTCACTGTTTGTTTGTATCACGTGATGTTTTTGGTAAGAAAAGTTTTGAATGAAAACTAAAGAGAAAATCAATTACTACTCAAGCGAAAAATGATTGCATCTGCCTTTATTATCTTCATACGACTTCAGCAGTAGATATTCGGTTTCTAGCCGAGTTGCGTCATGCGCATTTCCATGGAGACCAATGACAGCTCGAGGATCGCGTATTACTGGGCATTCAAGGTGAGTGCGTGTTTACAGTTGATTCAAATCTTTTAACTTCAAACTAGGTAAATAAAATGTAAATGGCTGTACTGATATGGGCGACTATGTAGCTTATAGACGACTATCACAAACATTTAAATGTGTGTGGTCTAGGAAGTTACTGTCTGATGAGAATGATTGCATAAGTAGGCTATTTGCAAAAAGCATGTGTTTTTGAGAATGTATTATTATTATATTTTTTTTTTTAAAGTAGCCTATAACAAAAATGAGATTTTAAATTATAAAAACGCTTGTAAAATTGCGACCGACATTGCAAAATAGCTCATTTATTTTGGCGGAAAAAAATAGCATTTGTTAATTTTAACAAAATATTTAACTAGGCCTATTTATCGGGCATTTTGCACACTGTTGCTGTTGCAGTTTGTTAAAAAGTCTATTCTTTTATGACACAAAATTTAGTGGCACGATGTCCAATAAAAGCAAGGAGTTTTCTTGGGTTACAAACGGCCCTCCTTTTCATCACATGCTTCGGGCTTCTGGGCAAGCTGAGGTCTGGAATGATTTTGCCGACGAGGCCAAATTTCGTCAGTATGGTTGGCGATGTTCAACGAATGAAGACTCGTATTCAAATACCACCCTCATTGGTAACTGGTCAGAAGAGAGGGTTGACACTCGCCGTACTGTGGCGTTACGACGCCCCCTTCCGCATCAGGTTGGTATTGTTTAGTAAAATATTGACATTCATAGCCACGTACTGTGTCACATTTAAAAATGTTTGAATTTCATTGCATTAGTTAATAAAATATAAAACCAAGAAGCATCTGCAAGCATCCTTTTACAGCTTCACTTTTTGAGCAGTATGCAATGATTTTTAGAAGTGCCCAGCCCAGTAACCACAGCTACCCTTACGAAAAAGAAGTTTATTCACCTGTTTGCCATTGTTTGACCCTGCCTGTTTACCACGTCTCTTTAATAAAGCCTGCAGATGGATCCACACGTCTCACGTCTCGTCAGCCCCGTTACAAGTACCACTAACATCTGTTAATCACAAAAAGGCAAATAATTTTAAACACTGAACACTGATTGTTTGTTTTAAAACTTAGCCTATTTTGTGAATGTTTTGCTTTAAAAGTGTGCTAGTGCTATCTTTCTTTAAAATAAATTTGGTTGGATTTTTAGTTATCTAATGCAGTGACATTCATGCATTTTTAAGTGTCACTTAGGTGTCCCAGTACCAAACAAATAACAGCCAGATAACCTTGAATTTGCTACTCCTCACAGTTCTCCCACTACTTTGAAACCACATATTATTCCAGCTACAAGAAAGACGACATTCGGCCGATTTACACAAGTATGTTTTTCTTTAAATCATTTAATTTAAGAACTTTGTATTAACTTTTAATTTATTAGTTAGTTTTGGATTCAACAAAATAAATATGCTTACTGTAAAGAACCTTATATTTTCACTTTTTCAGCCCTGAAGAGAGAGTCAAGAAGCTTCCCTGGCCACCAACCAGAAAGGGACCCTCCACAAACTAAGTGTGTGCCAAACTCCTGCTACAGACTGGACTTTAAAGGCCCTCAACGTAGAGTAGACATAGTGGGGGAGACTTCAGAGCCTCAGTGCGGGAGTGTAGCAGAGACAAACTGAAGCCTTTGGCAGAGAAATTTGGCTCCCAACATTATATCAGCTTCAGTAGCCTCCAACTGACTTCTGTGAGTGAACCACTGTCAAATATTGATAAAAAAATATTCTTATATTTTGCTCAAGCATGTGTCTATTTTTTAATCATGCATACAGTGAAAAGAAAATGTACCCATGTTGATTGATTTTCCATACATAGTGAGGTTTGATTATTTTGGTTCTCAATTTCAATTATATTGTACTTTACTGCATTAGCCACCTCGTAAAATACATACGAATTGGTAGTGTTGAGACAGTGAGGAAAGTCAAACATTTCTACAAGCAGCGCTAGACTATACTTGAGTTTAAAATGCAGAGCAATTCACCATTTCAACATATATTTTGTAGGCCTACTCATAGACTAAATATCTGCCAGACCATTGAATTCCCTAATCTTTGAACATTTTGAGTTACGCTATGTAGTAAAAGAAAAAATAATAATTTTGAGTTAAAAAAACAAGTTCACACTGGTTTTGAATGGCTGAAGCATTTATTGATAATTATATAATGACGTTAATTAGTTAATTCAGTGCTTCAGCTGTGATTAATGAGGAAAGCAGTGGACAGTGCAAAGCCATGTTTTGAAGTTCTCCTTCTCACTTACACCTCCTAGTGGGGATAATGTAGCAGTTTAGGCCTTTGCTTTAGTGGAGTGATATAAATATAAGGAAATAAGGATATTTATCCTACATCTTTGTCAGAACCTGCTTATGTTGCTTTTCCATATTAAAAAAAATGACTGATTTAGTTTGATATTAGCAGCTTTACCATTGTTGAATAAGTGAGCCATTGCTAAGAGACCGAATAGTCTCAGTGATTGTAAACAATATAAATTCTTGGCCCTTATTCACATGCACAGACATCTCAGCTCACATCTCACTCTCAAAAGTAACATTCAAATATTATTTAGTAAATCTCAAGGGGGACATTTGACCTATACACCATGCTTGCATGAATAAACTTGCTTTAAATGCTTTCATTTTCATTAATTGTTGCAAAAACAGCAATTCTTGGAACCGTACCGCTGTGTGAGTAGCACCTGCAATTCCTGCTGCTTAACAATGAATTAACAATTAACCGTTTAATTCCGTTTTAATGCTGTGTTGAGCAACATATTCATATTATTTTATTTAAAAGGGGTTCATAACCCCCTTTAACCTTGGGTTTTAAAGCCCTGCTCCTGCTATTGTCATGAAAATACAGTGGTGAAAGTATAGTGTGAAGCAACGCAGTGCATAAATGTGTCATTAACCAATCAAAAACCAGATCAACATTCACAAAGCTTGTCAAAACACTTAAATACTGTCACTTTTTTAAGAACGTATCCACGTTCCCTCACTGTGTCCTCTGGTTCCAAATCCATCATTAAATTCAAAATAAACGTACTTTTTCAAACCAAAAACAATAGCCATTGTGACATCTCAAACAAATCATTTTAACATACTCAGAATACACAATAACAGAAGAAACACTTTACAGCAAGGTTCCATTTGTTAACATTAGTTAACTATAACACGAAATAACAATGAAAAATACTTATAAAACATTTATTAATCTTAGTTAGTGTTAATTTCAACATCAAAAGTTGTATCTGTTAATAATGTTTAATGGACCAGAGCTAACATGAAATAACAATGAAGCTGTATTTTTTATTAATTAACATTAACAAAGATGAATAAATACTGTAAGAAATATATTGCTCATTGTTAATGTAAGTTCAAGCATTAAAGGGGTCATATGATGCTGCTAAAAAGAACATGTTGTGTATTTGGTGTAATGAAATGTGTTGTTTAGGTTTCCACGGTGAAAGCCGATCCGGCGATCCACAGCGCGAAGTTGAAGTATTTAAGAGAATAAAAGTTACACCTTCTTTCTTTGCGTGAACATTTGGGCGGCGTTATGCAAATCTTCCCACATTGTGACGTAGGTATGTGGGGGCGTGTTAGAACGAGCCGTTTTAGGTAGGCATGGCTGACTCTTAACTTTTATAAAGAATATCTCTTTGGATTTGAGACTTTAGTCTTTGCAACTTTACAGATCTTCTTTATGCACCAAGAGCTTGTAACACTCCAAAGAGAAAGGAAAAATTGAAATCGCATCATATGACCCCTTTAAGTAACAGTAATAGGACCTTATTGTAAAGTTTTCCCGTTTTTCTGACTCTCCTGCAAATCACACCAATAATAATGAGAGACTATGGCATTTTTTGCCATTTGATCCAGCTTAATACAATGGCCCATTTTTGCCTGTTTGTCTTTGCCAGGGAAAATACTCCTACACTCAAATACTTTGTCTTGTTGTCAAGGCTGCGCGATGTACAAAAGCCCCTTTGTTTGGTGGCATCAACAGAAGACAATACTTTATTGTAAAAGTGTATTTCTATGAAAATCTTTTAGGTAACATTCATCATATAGAGATTGTGTTTACAGTTAGTTGGACGCTGATGGAGTTTTCAACCTAATAGCTGTTTCTTCTCTAGCCGCTGTAGCAAAGACAACATAAGTTTTGGCCTGTCAGGAAACACTGGGCTAATAAGTTATTCCCCTGTAATGTAGCAGGAGCACAGTGGGACAAGGGAAAACAAGGGACATGGAAGTCTAGCAGCTTTACTTCTTCTGAGACCCAGCCACGGCCGGTTTGTCATCACAGGTGATGGGAATGGAGCGCTCCGGGCCGTCTGTGTGCTTGCGCGGGGCTGTCACTGACAGAACGCCATCAGAAGACAGGGAGGAAGTGACAGAGGCTGGATCCACACCAGCAGGGACACGGTATTTTCTTAGAAACTCTCGTGAGACGAAACCGTGATCATCCTGCGAGGAAAGCACAACATCGTTCTGAGCAGGTGATAATGAATGATCCGTCTTTCACTCTGCTTGACTCAATGTTTACTTGCGGCACAAGGCCAGTGATCTTGGTGATGACATGTGGATATTAAACAGTAAAGCCAGTCACATGCAAAGGTTTGCTGGTTAGGTATGTTTTGAAGCAGTGGAGCTAAGCTGGTCCTGTGCAAGCTCATAACCAGCTTATAACAAGCTCAGGACCAGCTTAAACCAGCTCCCATGCTTCAAAACATACCTAACCAGCATATGCTGTTTTTTTCAAAAGGGCAGTGCTCAGTGTTTATGTATCGTGAGTTGCTACCTGACGATCCTCATGTTTGGCATGAATTTCAATGAAATCTCCATTGATTTTCACTGACAGCTCCTCTGGTTTAAAGTATTTAACATCCATATTTAGTGAGAAACAGTCCTTTTCCATTTTCATCTAAGAAAACAGGATTAATGACATATTTAATAATTTGTCTAGTTTAATCTAATGTTCACAATGAGCACTTCAAATTCAAAAGAATCATTAATGAATTAATTTTAGACATTTAGATTTTTTTCTGTTGTGACATTCCTTTCATGACGATTTCAAAAATTGCCCCCTAAATTCTTGTAATGTCAAAAGAACAAAAAACTGTATTATCCTGCAGACAGGACGGTTTTCATTACTATATTATATAGTTATAATATTAAGTGATAAAAATAATAATGTATATTTTATTTTCTATTTCCTATTGGAGTATTAGAATTACATTTCCATTTTTTCACATTACAATATTGTTTTCACAATGCTAAAATCCTAATAATTCTACAAATATGCTTCACTTTCTTCATGCAAAAATATTTCTCTTTTGATTTTAAAGTGAAATATGACCTGAACAGGGTTTTTTTTGTAAAATTCAAACATATAATGTATTCAGTTAATAGTTTTATTTTGTTTTGTTTCCATCAAAACAGAACTGCTATACTTCACTGTGGCTTTTTTAAAGATAGAGTGCTAGGCAGAAATCAATCAAAGCTATCGTCATGGAATAAATGCTCAAAATATTTATCCATTGGGATCATAGTTTAGAAAACAGCTGACACTAGCGCAGCTGCCATTAGAACAAAAAAAAAATGGTTATAGCTATCTCTAAAATAGGCATGGACACAGAGAATAATGAATTAAAACTTCATGTTAATTCATGTTAAAAATAACTATTAAAAAATCCACAAATAACATTAATTTTTACATGTCTCTTTGAAATACTTCATTTTGATCAGTCAATTAAGGTCAAATATGACCCTGGACCACAAAACCAGTCTTAAGTCACTGGGATATATTTGTAGCAATAGCCAAAAATACATTGTATGGGTCAAAATGATAGATCTTTCTTTTATGCCAAAAATCATTAGGATATTAAGATCATGTTCCATGAAGATATTTTGTAAATTTCCTACCATAAATATATCAAAACTTAATTTTTGATTAGTAATATGCATTGCTAAGGACTTAATTTGGACAGCTTTAAAGGCGATTTTCTCAATATTTAGATTTTTTTGCACCCTCAGATTCCAGATTTTCAAATAGTTGTATCTAGGCCAAATATTGTCCTAAACCATACATCAATGGAAAGCTTATTCATTCAGCTTTCAGATGATCTATAAATCTCAATTTTGAAAAATTGACACTTAAGACTGGTTTTGTGGTCCAGGGTCACAAATATTAATGTCCACTAAACTGTTAACATATTAAAATGATTTCAAACACGCATTATTTATTAACTGTACAGTGGGGAAAATGTACAGCCAGCCATTATCACAAATTAAAACCCTTTAGGGAAATACGAGACCCCTCCGCTTTGCTTTAAGATCCTAAACACCCAGTTTATTTTGAGATAGTGACTTAACAAATTAGACACGGAACTACAATAATGCTGATGTTACAAACTGAATGTAGATGAACCGCAACATTGACAAAAGTCATTGTAAACTCACCTCAGAAAGGCCGCTGTCCACCCAGCTTGGCCGGCGGAAAAAGGAAGGTCGTGGGTAGTACAGCGAGGGAATCATGTCGGCCTCAGAGATGGGATCCCCAAAGTGCTGGTCAAAGATCCGGCTGGGAAAGAAGGATGGCCAGAAGGAGCGACGGAACCAAGGATGCTGAATGGCGATGTCCATTTTGTGTCTGGGCCTTAGCAGCACTCAGAAAACTGCTGTCTCTTCTGCCTGCGCACTTAAATAGAGCAACACCCTCGGCCCCTGGCAGACGAGCCAGCTGTGGATCTTTCTGGAATAATGATGTAAACTGTTTGCCTGCCTTTGCCTCTTTCACTTTGGCCCTCCCACTGTCCTGTGCTTGCTACCCTGTCTCCTCTTCCGACCATCACTCTCTGTATTTATCCAAAGAGCTGATCAGATTTCAATTCACTCAGATACCAACTGGATTACAGTGCAAGCCCCCAATAGTGCTGATGGTCCCTTGTGTTCACTGCACTGGAAACTGCGCTGAACCTGCCAATATTGAGGAAAGTCAGTCGTTGCTCGGCATTGCTGGCTCATTTGATGCCAGCACAGATTAGGATGCCCATGAGGTGATGTGCCCGTGCATATTTCGGTTCTGAGCCCCTTTGGAGGTTTAGTCTTTACTGAATCTGACAGTGAATGTGGCTGAGATAACTGTGCCAGGCTAAACACCATACAAAGTCAATCCCCATGAACAAGCCCTCGGCTGGGCAGTGTGTTCGGGGCTTACTTGAGCTGGCACACTGACTGGACATCATGATTTTGGAGGGGTAAGCAGTCTCGGTCGCTGTGCTCTCAGTGAATATTTTATAATTTAAAACGTTTAATTTTTGTGGATTTGGTGCCCTTTTAGTTCCCTGGACTTATTATTAGTTTAGCAAGAAAAAAAATACAG